TTTTTTTATTGATTTTATAAACATTATAAGAACCCTATCATAGATGTATCTATAGCAAAACGCTATAAAAATGCTAAAAAAAGCTTAGTTTTCATCTATCTGACGCCATTTGAAAAATATTTTATATTTGAAGTACTATCTATCTATCTATCTATCTATAATAATAATAATAAATAGTAATTATTAAAAAGTAATAATAAAATAATAATTATATATTTTAAATGTGTGTGTATTTTAAATATTTTAAATAAATAATAAATAATTCTTAATAAATAATTATTATCAAAACATTATTAAAGCATTTTTTTATTTACTCTGAAATGGCTCGGTAACCATTCCAAGCAATCTATTGTTGCCACAAATATTCAAAGTATTTAATGCAAGAAGTAAAAGATTGTATAAACATGTGTTCCATATGTGACCCTGGAGCACAAAACCAGTCATAAGGGTAAATTTTTCGAAATTGAGATTTATACATCATCTGAAAGCTGAATAAATAATCTTTCCATTGATGTATGGTTTGTTAGGATAGGACAATATTTGGCCGAGGCATTTGAAAATGTGAAAATCTGGAATCTGAGGGTGCAAAAAAAAATCAAAATAGTAGGAAATTTACAAAATATCTTAATGGAACATGATCTCTACTTAATATCCTAATGATGTTTGGCATAAAAGAAAAATTGATAATTTTGACCCATACAATGTATTGTTGGCTATTGCTACAAATATACCCCAGCGACTTAAGACTGCTTTTGTGCTCCAGGTTCACATATATGTATCAAAACATTGTATTTCCTCTGAAATGCTTCAGTAACCATCTTTCCAAGCAATTGATTGTTGCCACAAAATTTAAATAATTTAATGCAAAATATAGTAATTAAAAATGTTTTAAAAAACAGCATCAAAACATTTTTTTCAGCTTTATGTATTTACTCTGAAAAGACTCCTTAAACAATTCAAATGTTTTTTTTTTGTATGTTTTACTCAAAATGGCTAATGGTAATCGTTATCCAAGATATCTATTGTTGCCACAAACATTCAAAGCATTCAATGCAAGAAGTAAAATATAGTAATTAAAATGTTTTTCCACTATATATTATCAAAACATATTTTAGCTTTGTTACCAGTATTATAATACAAATACAATATTTGCCTTCATATATTTTTGTTAAAACATTTTAAAGCATGTTAGTTGCTCTTCTGCTCCATGTTTTCATCAGATGCAAGCCAGCGATCTGAGCCAGTCAACACCAGCATCTTCTCTCTCCTGCCTGATGATGCAAACTCTTCCACATCTGTCCCAGCAACAGCTTCTGGATCCAGCGAGTCAGGCATCCCTCTCGCATCGCTGAACAGAAAGCGCATGGGAGAAACGTCCTCGGCGGACTCTCCCGTCAGTAAGCGATCGACTCGGGCCTCGGAAGACGTCAGCGCCTCCGTCCTCTTCTGGGAGCCGGTGCCTCGAGACGCTCCGGCGACCCTTCGACTGATTCCCCACAGCTCCTCGCAATCCGTTAAAATCCCACGCCACAACCAGCCTGTCATAGTTCTCAACCATCCCGACACTGATATCCCCGAGGTCACAAACATCATGAAAGCGGTTCACAAGCACAAAGGCGCCGTGCGTCGCGTCGTACTTTCTCGTAAAACTCTCCGAGCTCTTTCCGAGTTTAACTGCGACGCCTTTCGCCATAATCTCGTCGCCAATTGCCACGCGTCCCACAGCAGGAGAGAATGGCCAAACGGGACCGTTAAAGAAAGGTTCAGCTTGAAACTGAGGCTCAAAAGAGTGTGTGGAAGAAAGTACACCGTAGTACCGACAGTGTCGGAGAGCATCATGCTGCAGCCGACGTTTAAATGCTGGTTTTGCGGGCGGCTTTTCACAAACCAAGAAGCCTGGGTGGGTCACGGACAGAGACATCTAATGGAAGCAACCAGAGGCTGGAACCAGCTCTTCAACAGATAGAAATGCATTCATTTTCCCGCATTAGCCATTTTTAAGAAGTGCTGTGAAGAATCAGGGTTGCTATGCAAATCTCAGGGTGAGAGAAATACAGTTGCGGTCCAAATCTGTTTCGTTCTTTGTAGTGATAAACCCTTCTCGGGCGATTGAATATTTATGATGACACGAGCAAGCAATATTTATTTTGTTCCACAATGTGAGATCGAATAGATGACAAATCACTGTGTTTTGATACGGTCAGACCAAATCCTTCTCGCACGATACCTGTGATAGATCAGGTTTTGTGAGATATTGCAGAGACCTCAGGTAATATTGTCATATTCCACTCTGTTAGCTTAATACTAATAGAAGAAGTGTGTTGACCTTCACTTCACGCTGAACAACGAGTGATTGAGCAGTAAGACATCGGTTTGTCTTAATACGTTATGTAGCTTTGCATTATTTTATTGTTTTATTTTTGACGTTTAAAACTGTCGTTTAACCATTACTGCTTGCTTTGTTGCTTTACTAATCATCTTTCAGAAGACTGAAATGTTTACAGAACTTGTTGATTCTGTTTGTAGGAGGCTACGGATCTGGTTTAGCTTCCTCTGTTTGTCACGTTACTGGTATATTTAGCATTAGTTTCAAACTACACCTGTATGCGAGAGCATATGTTGACGCAGCATTGGTGAAGCATCACTGAAATAATGTTTTGTATTTATGTGAATGGTCTATATTTATTTTTCAGCGTGCAGTCGGTTGATAAGTTACATGGGTTTGATTAAGGGTTTAATCAAGAGTTTAAATTAATTACCTTACATTTATTAAATTGTTAATGTATTATTCATGGATAAAGAATGTTGCAACTGTGATGTTTTTTGGTATCAGTAGTCAAAATTTTCCAAGAAATATTTTTATTCTCATTTATGAAGCCAAAGGTTTTTTAGGATCAGTGCACTCTAAAAAATGCTGGGTTAAAAAGGGACAAACCCAGCTATTGGGTTCAAAACATCCCAATAGCTGGGTCAAAACATCCCAATAGCTGGGTCAAAACAACCCAATAGCTGGGTCAAAACATCCCAATAGCTGGGTCAAAA